TTTTTTTGTTTTGTTTTGTTGCACCACCAACGCCGTGCGCACAGACGCAGTGAGTGAGCGAGCGAGAGACGAGACCTTCGTCCCTCCCATCGTGCCTTCTCTTCTTCTTTGTTGGTTTGCTGCTTAGCTCAGTATTCTGCCGAAAATGGTTTACGCATTGCTGGAGCTCCCTGCCGGCGTGGCACTCTTCAAGGTGGACGGCGAGAAGCGAAAACTGAAGGCGCTGCTGCAGTTCAAAAGTACCGCTGACGCCCTCGCCACTACGACGCAGATCGTCAACGGGGAGCTCGCAAAGCCGGTGCGCAAATTCCTCAAGAAGAATTTCTTGGAGAAGGAGATCACAGAGGAGTTAGCTGTCGCGGACTCGAAGCTCGCCAAGGTGATTAAGGAGACCCTCTCTATCCCATGCGTGCACGGTGACGAGACCCTCGCGACGTTCCGCGCCCTCCGCGCAAGCGTGGACGAGCTGCTGCAGGAGGTGTCGGCGGAGCAGCTCAAGCAGACAGCGCTCGGTCTCGCGCACAACCTCAACCGCTACAAGCTGAAGTTCTCCCCGGACAAGGTCGACATGATGGTCGTGCAGGCAGTGGCACTCCTGGAAGACCTTGACAAGGAGATTAACAAGTATGCGATGCGTGCACGTGAGTGGTACGGCTGGCACTTCCCCGAGCTCGCCAAGATCGTCAATGATAACTTGCTCTACGCGAAGATTGTGCTTGCTGCAAAGACACGCTTCAACGCCCGCGACACAGACTTCTCCGACTTCCTCGAGGAGGAGGTGGAGCAGAAGGTCAAGGACGCGGCGATGGTGTCGATGGGCACTGAGATCGCAGAGGAGGACATTGAGAACATCTGCCGGCTCTGTAGCGAGGTGGTGGCGGCCAGCAAGTACCGTGAGAGCCTCGCCGCCTACCTCAGCTCCCGCATGCAGACTATCGCGCCGAATCTGACGACGATGGTCGGCGAGCAGATCGGCGCGCGCCTCATCCAAAAGGCGGGCTCGCTGCTGTCGCTGGCGAAGTACCCGTCCTCGACGGTGCAGATCCTCGGTGCGGAGAAGGCGCTCTTCCGTGCGCTCAAGCAGCGCCAGGCGACGCCCAAGTACGGCATCTTGTACAACGCGCAGGTCGTTGCCAAGGCGGCGGCGCCGAACAAGGGTACAATGTCGCGCGTACTGGCGGCGAAGACATCGCTTAGTGCCCGTATCGACTCGTTCGGTGAGGGCGACAACGCCCCGGCGCTGGAGTATCGCAGCAAGGTGGAGGAGCGGCTGCGGCAGTTTGAGGAGGGCGTCACGTACGGCAAGACCGGCAACGCTCGTGGTGGCGGTGCGGGGATGCAGCAGAAGCGTGGACCACCCGACAGCAACGGTAAGGGCAGCGGGGCGCCATTTAAGCGGCAGCGCTTCGACGACGCTGGCTTCAAGCAGCGGAGCTAAGAATACGTGGAGGGAGAATGGTGAGAAGGAGTTGAAGAGAGGGGGGAATGACAAACAAACAAACAAACAAAATGGGGGCGGCGACACACAATAACACTGCGCCGTGATAAGAACCGCACTGCAGTAGAGGACGCGTTAAATGCACTGCTTCTTTTTTTTTTTTTTGCTAAACGAAGCGAAGAAAAGAGGCGAATAAAAGAAAAGAAAGAGGAGAACAAAGAAAAAAAAACAGGCTTTTTGCCCCTTGTCCTTCACGACTATCGCGGTGCATTTGTCGGCGGGGCCTGTTGTTGTTGTTGTTGTTGATGTTTCCATTTTGCCGTCTAAAAAAGAAAAAAAAGGAAGGAGTCTGACCCTTTTAATTGCTAAGAAAATATACATGAACGTCGAAGGGGTGAGTGTGCGAGACAGCGTGGGGGTGCGGGAGAGAGAAAAGGGAAGGGGTGGGTGTCTCGGGGTGCGGCTGCCGGCCACCGCGGTGGTGGCGGCCGCACCGGAGCGAAGTGAGGCGGGCCCTGCAGGGACCGAAACCCAATTCCCATTTCTCCCTCTCGCACACGCCAACTCACCCGCTCACACATTCACGCAAATGAAGGGCAAAAAAAAATACAAAAATCTTTAACGCAAGAGGCATTCTTCCTGTGGCCGCTTTCTATTTCTTTGTTTTTATGTTTGCGCCTCTCTCTCTCACACACACACACACACATACGCTTAACTATCTGTTGCTCCACTTTGTCTTTGCTTTCTCGCTCATAGTCTCCTTCCCCACCCGAGGCCGCGGAGCAGAGCTAGGAGGAGGAGGAGGAGGAGGAGAGACGTGGCGTGTGTGGGCTGTCACATACACCCGTACATATATATATATATATCAAAGTGGTGCCTTGACGTCTGTTCGCGTGATGTTGCGCTGCTCGTCTCTGTGGCGTGGGCTGAACTTTGCCGGTGTGCAGATGTCACGCAAGTACGTCTCCATGGGCGGTTGGTGCGGCCCCGCGCTGCTGTTGGGCAAAGTCGGCCTGCGCACCGAGGCGTACCCCTTCGACTTCAGCCGCTGCACCCTTGACGGCATCCTGCACTTCATTCGCAGCGGCTTCTCAGACGGATTCTATCCACCCGGCCCGCCGCCGTACCGACCGGAGTGCGTCGGCATCTGGGTGCTGTACCGCGGCCAGCATACCGCCTTCGCGCACTTCGACCTCAACGACCCGGCGGTAAAGGCACAGTTCGCGCGCAAGATGTCGCGCTGGGACCGCCTCATTGACGCTCCAGAGGTGCCGGTGACGTTCTTCCGCACCATTACCGCACGTGACCCGAGGGATGAGATCCGCCTCGCACCGGCGGTGGAGGATGCGATCGCGGCACGCAATCCGGCGCTCGACTTCCGCATTGTGATGATCGCCCACGACCAGGGCCTCGTCGCTCGCAGCGTGGAGCTTGCACCACTTTCCCCTCGCACCTCCCTCTGGGCGCTGACGTACACGCGTGACGCCAGTTTCACTCTCTTTGACCGCGCACAGCAGGCGTACACCGACATAGTCATGCACAGCATCGACGAAGATAACTGGCCGCTCGACGTGACGAAGGTGCCAACGCCAGTGGGGCTCTGTGAAATGGAGGCGGACTATGAGCGTTGCGTTTTGTACAAAAGCGACGGGAGCACTATTCCGTTTGCATCGCTGACGGTGGACACATTCCCGTGGCGCTGTCATGACAACATCGCTCTCATTGATGGCGTGGCGAGTGTGGGCGGCACTTGTGTCGGCATCGGTAGCACGCAGTGCGTTGAAGGGCGCTGCGCGTTCTGCAGCAGCACAGATTACCACAAAGCTGGTCGCCCATTTCGCACGGGGCGCCCGTTCACGGACGACGAGGACCAGCTGATATTGGTGCACCTCTATCGCATCCTCACTGGCGGTGACAAGGTGGAGGCGGTAGAGGACCTCGCGCACCAAATGAATCGCGGCGCCTTTGAGGTTATTTGCCGCATCCAACACCTGACGAATTCTAGCGTCAAGATTATGGACTACATGGGGGAGGAAGAGGAGAGGCGGAGATGATGCCCACTGTCTGCTAGAGTTGTTGGTGCTGATGCTGACGTGCAACACGTGGGGAGGGTGTTATATATACACACATATATATATATATATATATATGAGTGGGTACGTAGTTCCTTTTTAGTTTTTTCTTTGTGGTTTGGATCTGGGTCTTCTGTTATTTTTCCTTTTCACTCTTTGCATTTTTTTTGTTCTGCGACTGGCCTAACGTTAAAGAGGAGCATTGGAGACGTCCAATCGTCTCAGGGCAGGGAGGAGATTCCAGGGGTTTATTTTCCCTCACACACTTACCCTTTCTCTCGCTCTCTCTGTGTGTGTGTGTGTGTGTGTG